ACAGACATCCCTCTGGCAGCCCAGGAACCCTCGGGGGATGTCCACTTATCAGTGGGGAGCAGGCCTAAGCTGCAGTCGGACATCCTTAGCACTACTGAGGAAGTGGGAGAGGCTCCCACCTCCACTGTTGTGCTAGTAGCTGTCAGCCTGGCTCATGGCTGAGAAGAACTCCCCCTGTGGGAGCTGAGTGACCACCAGGGGGCAGCTCCTGCATTGAGCATCTGCCCACTGGTGGTCAGTGTGTGTTATAGTGGCCAGTCATTCCCAGTCATTCTGCTGTTAGGCTCAGTTTGCATATTACCCTTTTATTATATAGAATAGAGGCCTGGTGCATGGGTGGGGGCCGGCTGGTTTGCCCTGCAGGGTGTCCTGGAGCAGTACTGGGGTGCCTGGCCAGCCTGGGTGAGGTGCTGATGGCTGTTTGTAGCCTGGCCACAGCTCCTTCAGAGTATGAGTCCTCCCTGGGGTGCCTGGCCAGGCTGGGTGAGGGGCAATTGCTGTTTGAAGGCTGGCCATAGCCCTTTCAGTGTGGTGGTCACCACTGAGGTGCCTAGCCTGCCTGGGTGAGGACCTGAGAGCCGTTTTCAGGCTGGCCACACCCTTCAGGTTGGGGGGTCCTGCTGGGGTGCTGGCCAATTTGGGTGAGGGGCTGATTGCTGTTTGCAGGTGGCCAAGGCCTCCAGTGGGGACCCTCATTCCATGAGGGTGTGGTCAGCCTAGGTGAGTTTCTGATGGCTGTTTGCAACCTGGCCAAACCCCCCAGCAGGGACCCTCATCCCATGAGGGTGTGGCTAGTCTGGGTGAGGGGCTGATGGCTGTTTTCAGGCTGGCCACAGCTCCTTCAGGGTAGGGGTCCCCACTGGGGTGCCTGGCCAATCTGGGTGAGGGGCTGATGGCTATTTGCAGTCTGGCCATGGCCGCCAGTCACCCAAGCTCCCAGTGGAAGCTGGCTAGAAGCAGGTATTTGGGATTTATTTATCTTCTATAATTGAAACTTTGGTGCCTTGAGCGGAGGCCACAGCTGGTCAGGGTAGGCAGGAAGCTTGGCTTCCTCCATCACCGGGGCAACCAAGCCTCCCGCTTCCTCCATCTCTGTAGCTGCTGGCTGCCATCTTGATTGGGTTAATTTGCATATATTCACTCTGATTAAATGTTTGGCGTGGCTTGGGGTGTAGCTGAGGTGCAGTCAATTTGCATGTTTCTCTTTTATTAGATTAGGCTAGAGGCCCAATGCATGAAGATTCATGGAAGAATAGGCTTTCCTTGCCTTGGCTGCCAGCACCACCTTCGCTCTGGTCCAGAGCTGCCTTCCACCTTTGCGTGCTGCCCAGAGGCCCGGAGCGGCTGGGGCGGGACAGAACACCCACGTCATCACCATGGTGATGAAGCAAGTGTCCCAGCCCAGCTGCCACCATCTTTGCCATGTCAATTTGCATATTCCCTCTTTATTGGCTGTGGGTGCCGCCATCTTTATCGTGAAGTGACAGTTAATTTGTTTATTACTCTTTTATTAGATAGGATTATTAGATAGGATGCATAGCCCACGGACATGGGCAATAGAGTGGTGGGGGATTAGGGCTAAGAGGGAGGGTGGGTGTTGCCATCTTTGTTGAGAAGTGATGGTCAATTTGCACATTCCATCTTTATTAGATAGGATAATTCTAACATTCTAAGTTTAAAAAAAAGGTGATAATATTTAGTAACTGTAATTTCCTTTTGCACATGAAGGGAGATAGAGCAACTTAAACTTCACAGAATATAGTGGGAGATAGAATTCAAAACTCGAAATTGCCAAAACCCTATCTACTGAACCTTGACTGTGTTAGTCAGTCTTATAAGTAGAATTTGTATTTATATATATATACTAGGGGCCCGGTGCATGAAATTCGTTCACTGGGGGGGTGGTCCCTCAGCCCAGTCTGCCCCCTCTCACATACTGGGAGCCCTCAGGGGATGTCC